GGAGGAGGTGTAGACGGGCGGGTGGCTGGGCGGATGGAAGGAGGAGGCGTAGACAGGTAGACGGAGACTGCATGGATACATGGGTGACTAGTCTGATGGATGGATGAACAGAAGGAAGAGAAGGAGGATGGAAGTGGGGTGGCTGGCCAGTGGTGAACACATAACATAGGTGGACAGATTGATGAGGGGATGAAGGGGCATGTGTGTGTGGAGGAATACACGCGTGGGTGGCAGATGGCAGGTAGACCTGCAGGCAGCTGGCAGACCACAGGGCAGTCGGTGGAGGATGAACACAGGCAGTGCCGTGATGGCTGGGCGTGCAGGCCACTTGGATAGGCCATGGCTTCAGTCCCAGCACTACTGGAGTAAATGTGCCCATCTCTCTGGGTCTTTTTCCTCATCTCTCAAATGGGTGCAGCTCCCACTGCAGAGGGGCATCGTGAGACCCAGACAACTCCAGGTTCAGAGGCCGCCCACGGGCACTCTCCCTGCGCCTCCCTCACACCCTGGGTCACTGGGTCTTGGAGTACAGGCTGACATTTTCCTCTTTCCCTCTGTTAGCCGACGAGGATGAGGCCCCCAGCTGCTTGTGGCTGCCCCTGCGGAGCCTGGAAGGGCCCAGCCCGTCTGAACCTGACCCCCTGGACTTACGAGGAGTCTTCCACGCACCCACCTCCTCACCCTCCCCACCCGCTTCCCCAGCCTCCACCCCACGGGCAGCCACACTCACAGGGTCCTTCCAGCCCTCCCCACCCTCCTCAGAGCCAGCACCGCCCTTGCCTTCCGGGAGGACCCCAGGGGCAGCACCTGAACCTTCGGCGTTTGAGCAGCGGCTGCTGGACTCCCAGCGGCGGCAGGGCGCCCTGCTCTCCTCCTGGGCCCAGCAGCAGAGCGCACTCATGGCCCAGCAGAGCCTGCTACTGCAGCAGCTGGCTGAGCAGAGCCAGCGTCTGGCCGACGGCGTGGAGGCCCTCCACCGGACCCTCGAGAGGCTGGTGGGAGCGCGCCCCACCCGGGAAGCCTCACCCTCACTCCGGGACGGTGGCCCTGCCGGTGGAATGGCCCAGGAGCCTGCCGGAGACTCCCAGGACAGCCCCCAGGGTGCCCACGCGGGGCTCGAGGTCTTCTCAGGGATGATCCTGAAGGTGGAGGAGGAAATATAGGGCTGGTCAGGGGTGCCGGCAGAGCCAGAGGGTGGGGGCAGGGCCTCCAGTCTTTCCCCTGCTGAGGCCAGGCAGGGGAGAGGTGGCAGTGACTGGGTCTCCAGGGCACTGGGACGGCTTGAGTCCAGGAGATGGGAAGGACGAGAGGACATGGGTTGTGTCCTGTGGAGTGTGGTGACCTTTGGGGAAGGGTTGCAGAGAGCCGACCTGTGGGGCCCAGCAGGTCAGGTCTACCCAGGGACAATGCTCGGAGGCTCCCCCCGTGTGGCAGTGGCTGTGAACTCTGCAGCCCAGCATCCCCGCAGGCAGCCGGTGGCAGAGACTGGGAAGATGCACTTAGGAGCTCCTGGGCACTGGAGCTCTGGAAAGGGGGCTCGGCCAGGCCCTAAGGTCCCGAGTGTGACCTGGCTTGACTCCCGAAGGTCCCTGTCCCCTTTATGGGCGTGTACACTTGGAGGGCCAGGCTCCTACGCCCTACCTGCTTCTGGCCCAGGGGAACCACAGCTCGTGAGCTTGGAATAATTTCTCTCCAATTTTATATATATATATATATATATGCCATATATTATTTGGTACTGTATGGGGCTGGGATGACATTTTGTACCTGCAGATTTTTCTTGCAAAAAGTATTTTTTTACATGAGCATAAAATAGAGCAGGTGGCAGTGTGGCTGCTGACAAGCACATGAGCTGGAGCCTGCTCCTGGGGCCTGGGGCGCCGCTGCTTTCAGCCTCCCTGCAGGGGCCCAGGCATTTCCTGTGACTTCAGACCCTTCTTCCTCCGTAACCTCCTCGACTCCTGGGAGATCCCTCGGTGGGGCTGCCCCGTCTCTGTCCCTGCACAGCAGGGGGCAGTCTGCAGCCCCCCAGCCTGGGCAGCTGTTGGGAGCAGCAGGCGCGGGAGGTGGGGCCAGCCTGGGCCTTGACTGGCTTGGGGCCTCCAGCCTGTTCCTCTGCCGGCCTCTGCGTGGCTTCCGTGGCCCAAAGCCTGTCCCAGGAGCGAGATGCTGACAGGCTGGCCTGAGCGGGAGGCATGCTGGTCCTGGGAAGCTCCAGCACAGCCGAGCGTCAAGATGGCAGCGTCCCTGAGAGCAGGGAGAGGGGCCTTTTCCTGGTTTTGTGTTTTCCTCTGGGGCCAGCATCGTGCCAGTAACTTTTGTCTATGGAAGAACCCAAGGCATAGCCACACGTGCAGCTGGCCTCCCTCCAGGCTCCTGACTCTGGGTGCACAGGTGCTGCTGTTGGTGCTGGGTGGGGCCTCCACTCTGATGGTTCCACCTCAGGAAAGTCAGCCTTCCATCCTGCAAAACCAGGTGACCTCAGTGCCACCACCTCCAAGAAGCCTCTTTAGATCTTCATTCTGGGTTCTTGTCCACTGAAAATACCCACCATAGGCCAGGCGCAGTGGCTCACGCACTTTGAGAGGTTGAGGCAGGAAGAAGGCTTGAGGCCAGGAGTTTTAGACCAGCCTGGGCAACACAGCAAAACCTCACCTCTACAAAAATAAAGCTCAGTAAATAAAGATGCCCTGCACGGCTGACAGTGGCCTTGCATGGCCGTGTGTGTTTTCTGTCTTGTGTTATGGTCTTACCTTGGACACAGCCTCTACTCCGGGTTTAGCTGAGCCCTGGTCCTTGTCATATACTGTTGGAAACCGATGCTCCGTGCCAGAAAGAAAAATCAGCACTGAAACAAAGGATTTCTTAGCAAGCAATTTTTACTTCTTGGGCTGCAGGAAGGGTACTCTTGCTAGCCATCATGCCTCTTGAGTACAATGAACAAAGGAAAAACAGACACATTTATCCCTTAGGCATTTGGGGTCATCCTCACCGCTGTGTCTGATCTCCATTGGCCGGAGCCAGACCTCACCATCTAAACCAAAACCCAATTGGCTAACAACTTACAACTTTTCTAAACAGGTAAAAGCAATGAAGAGCTGGGACATGCCTGTGAACACATCCGGCACAGATACCCTGGTTAAAGTACAAGGACATAGAGTGTACTACATGCCTGTAAGCGTGGCAGGTCTAACAGCTACATAGGATAGAACTTAACAAAGGAGCTCTTAGCTCACTTATGATTTATTCTTTAACAAGAAAGGAAACTTTAAAGAGGAACTTTTCTGCTTTCCACATACGCTGAACCCCAATCCTCACCCCACACTGTCCTGACCACAGTTGCACATTGAGCCCTGACCCTGGTCCTGAACTATGTTCTGACCCCGTTACACATTGAGCATTGATCCTGGCCACTGACTCAGCCCTGATTCTGATCACACACTGAGCCTGGTCCTAGTTGCATGCTAAGCTGTGGCCCCAGCCCTGGCCCTGGTCAGTCCAGGCATCTTCTGGGAGTATCCTCTGGGTTGAGCCCTTACTAAATGCCGAGGATACAGAAGCAGCTAAGGCAGACTGGGGCCTCTCCTCCCGAGTTTAGCGTGTGCTGCAGAAAACACATACTAAGCAAGTCAATACATATTTGACAAAATTTATTTTATGTAACAGTTAAAAATCGGTATAACTGCATTTGGTAGGAAATAATAGTGTGTCTTAGAGCAGATGGGCATCATGGCTGCTCCATCACTGACATCAATGACCAGGGGTTGGCAAGGCAGGGCAACACTCCTCAGAGGTCCAGGCATCTTTCTGCTCCCTTCTCTGCCGTGGTCCTCATGGCCCAGGACGGCTGCAGGACTCCCTCCATCACACTTGTGTTCCAGGTAGTCAAGTGTGGGGAAGGACGGCTGCAGGACTCCCCCCATCACACTCCCTTGAAGGAGATCTCTGCTTGCATCTCAGCCCATCGACTGGGAGTTAGTCGGATGCCCAACTTTAATTGCAAAAGAAGCTGGAAAACATAGCTTTAGCCCCAAATGGGGATTTTGTTACCAAAATAGAAGGGGCTGGACGCTGGGGTAGGCAGCGGGCAGTTTGCCAAGCTGGGGCGTTGACAGGGCTGGGACATCACAGTCTAGAGTGTCGCAGGCCTCCCTGCAGGAGGGACAACAGAGGCCTCCAAGGCGATGTGGCAGTAATCACTGCAGCCAGCGAGGGGCAGGAGGAGCCCGAAGGAACCCAGGCAGTGAAGACCAAGGGCCTGTCGGGGGGGCGCCAACTCCACCTCTGCTTTGTGGCTGAGGAGCCGGGACTCCAGAGCTTGGGGTCTGAATGGGCAAGTCCTGGTCCGTCTCTCCACAGTATGTGCCCTGCCCTTTGTGCTCTAGGCCAGTTTGCCAAGATGCGGTCAGATGCCGAGAGGCCAGGCAGGAGCATGGCCGGGACAGCAGAGAGGCATCATGGAGCGAGGCTCCGTCATCCAGCAGGTGCGTGGAATGGCAGGCGGCATGCAGGGAGGGCAGAGGCTGTGCCCAGCCTCGAGGTCAAGGGCGTTTCTGGATGAAAGGAGAACCAGGAGTGTCGCTTCAGACCTGGGCCTGGAAACCCCTTCTCTTGGGTGGGGGCAGGGGTGGCCTGTGGTCTCCCAGGAAGGAGACTGTGGTCTCGGCTTAAACAGTAGCCATTCAACATCAGCACTTTTGACGAAGGAACGTTCTTAGCAGGTGTGTGAGACGGAGGCAACCAGGAAGACCCTGAGGTTGCTGACCTGCCCCAGATGGGATTTCATTGTGATTCACATCCACACTGCTCACCTTGGGGCCTGGGCTGCTTGTACCCCCTCTGCCAGGCAGCCCAAATGCTTCCCTTGATCAATTAGGTGGATGGTGGGTCTGTGATGGGAAGTAAGATGTGGCATTGTGATGGAGCTTGCCTGCAGGGCCTTCCAAAACGTTTCAGAAAGGATGCCAGAAAATGGCTGGGATGGTTTCCGTCAGAGCTAGAGAGCCCAGGTCCCCTCACTGGGTCCCCCACTTTACAGACAGACTGAGAGCCCAGGGTGGTGTTGGAGCTGCAGGGTCCTGTCCAGAGTGCACAGGCAGGCCTTGAACCAGGCGTCTGGATTCCAAGTTCACGCCCCTTCCCTGTGCTGCAGTGCATTCCAGGTGAGTGAGGACAGCTTTCAGGTGCCTCATCCATCTGGCTCTAATGAGCCCAGCCAGCTTGCCCGCCCTGGAGGATCTCAGAAAATGAGGAAGTTTCTGCGGATCTGCTCCTGGGGAATGGTGGATTGGACAGTTGGAAGGGCTGTCCCATGATACAATAACTTAACCTGGAAAAAGCCGTGGTGTTAGATGTTTTGCCGGCTTTAGGGATGAACTGGTAGCCATGGCCTTGCCCCTCTCTCCGTCTCCCCTCCCCAGTCTAACGTGCCGGCGTGAGAAGTTAAGGAAAGCCAGGCTTGCCCTGAGCCCCAGTAAGCACCAGGTCTACCTGTGGATCCAGGGCCCAAGCAGAAGGTTCTGGAGAAAAGATCCCTTGTCAGGCCTTTGGTATACCCACAGAAGAAGAAGAAGAATCTCTAGGGCCTCCAGTTGGAAATCATTTAGTCTGTAATGGGGCAGGCCGTTGAGGGAAAACCAGGAGGAAGAACCAAGAAAAGCAAAAACACCAAGTTTAGACCCCAAAAGACTCCAGCTTTGGGATTAATCAGACACATAATGTGATTTCTGTGAAATATTTTTTAAAATAAAAAGATGAATCACAAAAATGAGCAATAAGATTCTAAAAGTGATTAAGCCCATCTGTGAAAGATCAGTGTGGCCTTTAGAAATGGAGAACTTTCTGGGTGGGTTAAGCAACATACTGGACATGGATGATGTTAGTAATAGCAAACTTGAAGATTTCTAGAGAAATAATAATATTGCAGAGAAAGGTAAGAAAATAGAAACGACGGCAGAGATTAAGGGATGGGGAGAGTAGAACCAGAGATACATACATCATCCTGGAGTCCCAGAAGAGGAGGAGCAGTGAAATGGTGAAAAGCAATGTGTGAAGACGCCGTTGATGTGACCTGTGATTCCCCGGACCCAGGAGGCACTAGCCTGCTGAGTGCATAAATGAAAAGAAATCCCTTCCTGGACACATCATGAGGAAGCGTGGAACAGCACAGAGAGAGGGAAAGCCTTTCCAGCAATTTCAAAGAAAGGAGAAGTGATGACAGCTTTGCTGCTGGCTCACTTTACATCAGCAACAGCAGAAGCCAGGAAATGGTAATATCTACAAAGTATCAAGAGAAAGTCAGTGTCATCTTAGAATTCTGCAGCTGACGAGACTAAACAACAAAGGTGAAATACAGACACTCTGTACACATAAAGGCTGTGAGAGCTGGCCACCAATAGACCTTCATGAAAGGGGTTTCCAAGAGATGGACTTCAGGGTGAAGGACTGGAATCCCAGAAAGAGCATCTGTAATACAGGAAGACCGGTGAGCCAAGAAATGTGTAAACGTGAGAAAATCCAAATAGTCATGAAGATTTTTTAAAGTCCATAATTACTAGAACGTCTAACTTGTGGAACTGAATTTTTATAAAGGATGGAACTACTGGAGAAGGATAGTATATTAATTGGGAAGAACTGTTCAAATGTTCTGAGCTCCTGGTATTATTTGCAGGGAGGTTAAATATTGATTAAGGTTAGCCTGTGCTAATAACTGCACATCATAAAAAAGCTCAAGGGTCCCTTCATCAAAGCTGGAAACTTCTGCTCTGCAAGAGATCCTGCTAAGGTTATGAAAGAGAAGCCAGCGACTAGTAGAATATATTTGCAAATCACATATCTGATGAAGGATGTATCCAGAATATATAAAAAGCTCTCTAATTTCCACAGAAAGAAAACAGTTCTATCAGAAAATGCACAAAAATGTGATCAGACACTCACCAAAAAGGATATATGGGTGGCAAGTGAGCACATGAAAAGATGTCCCTTAGCAGCAGCCATCAGGGAAGTGCCCACTAAACCCACACCACCGTGCC